ATATTTTAAATACAAGCTTTTATAGACTGATTGTTACATTATATTTTAATTATATAGAATAAGTGACATTCGATACATTTGGTTTTTTTGTCCCATTATTTTTTTCTCTTTTTTTTTTGAATAAAAATATGAATAAACTTTTTATTTATAAATATTATTCAGGCAATAATTTTCATACAATTTAACAGTTTCATAAATTCTAGGAAACGGATTAAAAATATTCCTCGTAAATAATAAAAATAGACGAACAGTAACATTTGATTAGAATTTTGTTTTAGAATTTTCTGAAAAGGCAGTTTTTTTGTCATTTAACAACCAGTCCAAAGAGCAAATTTCACTGAATCATAATTTTTTTTTTCTTTATGAATTCTGTAAAAGTTTCTCATAATTTTTCATTTTTAAATAAATTAACAACATTGATTCGTTATTTATTTATTTTTTTTTAAATATTTTTTTTTAAGTGCTTATATTTTTGGTGTTGCGCACTTTATAAGGATGAGTAAAAATTGCAAAATTCAAAATAAGTATTAAAATTTCTTTTTTTAAATTAATATTTTGAGCAAAAGTGTTTTTTTCATTTTATTATTTATTTGTTCTAATAATTTAATTTTACAGTAGGAAAATAAATGAACATAAATTTAATTAATTAAAATTTTATAAAGCTCATGGATTTTAGTTTTTTTTTTTGAAAATATTTTTTTACAATTCTCTTCATTTATGACAATTTTTAAATATTATGTCAAGTATGAAAAAATAAAATAAAAATATCTGTAAAATTGTATATTTTTTGTTTGTATTGTTGAAATGAATTTATTTAATTAAAAATTCGGAGAGATTGGAAAAATATTTGTATTGCTTTAAAATTTGACTAAAATATGGTAAATTAATTAACATTGTTATTATATAATGTTAAAATTTGTAACTCTCCCTGTTTTCGAATCACGTTTTATTTTACAATATCGACTCTAACAATAATAATAATAATAATAATGATGATGATAATAATATTTAAATAAACGAAAGGATATTATATATTATTATCAGAAAATAATTATATTTCATTTTATAAAAAAAATAATGCAAAATATTATTTTCACTTAATACAATTTTTACGAAATTAAATTTATTTTCTATAGAAAATTTATAGAAAAACAAAAATTAATAAGAAATCTTTTAAAATTATATTAATTTATATATTAATTATATGAATTATTGTAAAATATTTATATTTAGTGAATTTGAAAAAGGTGTGTCTTTTAATTTAAATTACATATACATTTTATATACAAATTTCTACTATAAACGATTTTCACAAACATCGTCGCTTTTCTTTCATTACTTTTAGAAGAAAAGAAAATTGGGTGTTGTCATTGTTTTTTTTTGTTTTTTTTGATTTGCTCGTTATCGTTATCGTTTTCTTTTTTATTTTTTTTTCCTCTTTTCTTTAATGCACTCATGAGTAAATTTTTCAATTGTACGGAAGTTCTTTTTACAAATTCTCCCTTGACACAAAGTATTTTTCGCTCATGTATTTTTTTTTACCTCTTTGAGGGATTTAATCACTCTTTCGGGAATCTAAAATGATTTACAAATAGGAACGGGGGAGGGGAATTAACTTCATTTTACAATAAAAACTTGTCTGTTGATTTTCTCTGAAATTCAAATTTACTGAGTGGAAGTGAATAAAATAAATAATATAATAAATAATAAAAGATATTAAATTAAAATGAAAAATTGTCCTTTGAAAATCTTTTTTTTTTTAATAATTCTTATACCGATAGGAGATAATAAATAATAAAAAATATTAAATTAAAATGAAAAATTGTCCTTTGAACATATTTTTATTTAAATAATTCTTATATCAATAGGAGACAAAACCATTCTCTATTATTTTATCTGTAATATTAATTCTCAGTTTTCCTCATCAATATATTATGTTTGAAAAGAAAATTTTAATAAATTTTGTACGACTACTAAAAGTGAATTTTTTTTATTAAATACTGTTTTCATACAGAAAATATTTTTTTTCACCGTTATTCAATAATAAATAATTGATTGGAAATGTTCGCTTTTTGTTAAAAATTAAAATTTGTGAACTAAAAGTTAATATCGTTAATATTTTTCAATTTTTAAATAGACTATTGTTAAATATTTCTCGCGTTAAAATATGTTTAAAACATAATAATAAACATAATAAAAGCAATATTTTCTTTCTCTCTCTTTTTTTATAAAAATAAAATATGAATTGAAATATATATAGTTTTAATACTATTATAATTATAGTATTCTGAGATAAAAGATTCAGGGAAAAGTCATGAATTTTAATTAAAAGTATCAAAAAATTAAATTTTTAGAATTCATAAGAAAATTCTGAATTTTTGTTTAACTCATAAATTATAAAATTATCACGAAATTTTAATAATTCAAAATCTTTTAAAATTAGTTAAATTTATCAATATATATTTAATTAATTTTTAAAAAATAATGGATTTATAGAAGAATTTTAGTTACAAACAGTAAAAAAATTGAATTTTGAAAAAGTTACAAATGATTGCAAAAATTAATATTACTTTCAAAAGTAATAAAATTCTTCTTAAAAAATTCAATTATGTTCAAAATTGAAAAAAAAATCTCGTCATAATTCCAATTATCTTCATAAGTAATAAAATTCTTCTTCAAAATTCAATTATTTTCAAAAATTTTCCTCATTTCAATGATTTACAATATCTATTACTTGAATAAAATTTTTGCAAAAGAATTTAATTAATTGAAAAAAAATTTTAATACAATTCTACCCAAAACATTTAATTATTTTCATAAATAATAAAAATTCCACAGGAATTCAATTATTTACAAAAATTTTTTATAAGTTTCTTCTGAATAATTCAATTATTTTCAGAAATAATAAAACTCATCGCAAAGTGTCAATTATTTCTAACACAATTTTAATCGAATAATTCAAATTCCTTGAAAAATGTAACTATTCTAAAAAATTTTTATTAAAATTCGTCGAAAGAATTCTATTAATTAAAAATTTGTTAGTAAAATTTTCTATAAAAATTAAAATTAAAAAAAAACATTCAATTATTGAATAAATTATTTACTTTTGTATTTAAATAATTGAATTCTCGTAGAATTTTCTTATAAAAATTGAAAATAAATTTTATTTTAAATTTTAGATAATATAATAGAATATGAAAATAATTTTTAAGAAGTTACGATAAGAATATTTTCGATATTGTCAAACAATATTTTTTAAAGAAAAAAAACAAAAGCATACAGAGAAATTAACTTCAAAGTGCGGACAGAATGAATAAACGAATAGAAAGATTAATATAGTTAATATTTAATAATAATTAAAATTTTAAAGTACATTTAGTGTGTATTTAAAATTGACAGTCAGAGTTTTTATTTTTTTTTTTGCAGGAAGTTTAATTCTCGTATGTTAGGCATATGGAGGAATTAGAAATAAAAAGAGTATCATGATGAGGAATTTTTCTATAAAGAATATCAACGATGTAATGTTGTGATTCTTTAATTTATTTGCATTGAATTTTTATTTTTATCATTCACTTTAGAATTTACGATTAGAAATATTAAAGGGAGTTGAAAATAAAATCAAAGTTGCGCAGAGAATTTAGGCGTAGCGTCTGAAAGAGGACGCTGCGCAGAGAACTTGTGCGCAAGTATTTAGTCTGAAAGTCGAGTGACGCTGCGCAGACGAATTGCGCACGAGCGCACTCTCTTTTATCCTCTTTTTTTCTTCACTTATTTCAATAAATATGGAGAAATTCTAATTCATCAACTATTTATTCGAATTTTGTAAAAAAATGTTTTGAAAAGTGTCACATAAAATTGTGGATTCAATTCAAATTTAATTACTCATGAAAATTAATTAACATCTCAGGAAATTAGACAACATTTTTATGGTTAAATTTTGAAAAAGTATATTTAATTGAAAATCAGTTTTAGTGCACGATTGCAACTTATTCCCTTTAATTTATATGGTGTACCGTGCGAAGAGCAGAGATTGCGTGACCTTTTCATTCAACAGTGCAAGCAATCAGCATTCGCACAATCTGCCTGATCGGTGGAATAGTCAATTAGCAGTCGCGTAATTTCTCCAATGAACTGGACAGACAATCAGCGTTTGCGTATCTTCTCGAAATGAACAGAGCAGACACGCCTCAATGAATCTTAAATAATGATTGACTTGAGTGTACAAAATCATTAAAATTTTAATTAAATTAAATGTTTCAAAGTCAATAATAATAATAACAATGAAATAATTTCAATAATTTTTTAAATTGCTTTGGAAGGCTTATTAAATTTCCAATAAAATGACACTATTCTCGTATTTGCATAAAATAGAAAGCTAACAATCATTTTCTAAATAAAAAAAAAATATTTCTAATTTTTTCGGACTTTCTCACCTTGACTTTGACTTCTGGCAAAGCTGATAAAAAAAAATTGGTACTTTTATAGACTTTTCCTTGTAATCTAAGTTTTAAATACCAAGAACAGGAAAAAATATTAAGTGCTTCTTCAGTTATATTAAAAAAAAAATGTACCGCGCAGACTGAAAAAAGTGTCAAAATTTATTAAGTGAGCCATTATTTTTCTATGGGAAAATATTAGTTATGGTATTAACATTTTTTTATACTCCATATGATAAAAAAAAAAGTTGCACAGTTTTTCGAAATTTTAATTTTTTTAATAGTTATTGTTATAATAATATTTTTTTGTATGAATTTTTTATTTTTTTTCTTCTGTTCTATAAGAGGAATCGAGTTGATTTTTGGCATCAATAACAAGAAATAATTTAATTAATATTCGTCATTATGGAAAATTAAAAAAATTGTTGAAAATATAAATAATTTATTTGAACAATTGAAAATAAATTCATGTTCTCCCAATATTTTCAACAATTTTTTTTCTAATTTTCCATAATGACGAATATTAATCAAACTATTTCTTGTTATTGATGACAAAAATCAACTCGATTCCTATCCTCTTATAGAACAGAAGAAAAAAAAATAAAAAAATTCGTACAAAAAATTGTTATTAACAATAACTATTAAAAAAATAGTGTGCAACTTGTATTTTTTTTATCATATAGAGTGCGTAGAAAAATGTTAAAATTAAAACCATAACAAATATTCGCCCATCGAAAAATGATGGTTCACTTCACAAATTTTGACACAAAACTGATAAACTCACAACATTCATTTATGATAATCTTTAGCTTTTCTTTTTTCAAGTATAGAAAAATTGATTATTTCTAGATAGATTCTATTAACACTTCTGGTCCAGATGGGTGTGAAGGTGGGGAAATTTTTCTTTTTTTTCTAGTCACAGTTCTCGTTTACTTGCGCTGGATAATAAAATTTTTTTTTTTTACAAGATTTATCTTATTGAGTGATCACTTTTTGGTCCACAGTGAACATTAACTTTCCGTTAGGAGTAGAAATAGTAAGAGTACTTTTATCAGGAGAGTATTAGTGATGAGATGATTGCGATTGGCGGTGGCAATTGATTTTGCTGGTGGATTACGAGCCTGGTCGTTCATCACGTCACTAGATATAGCAGCACTGTTTGGTTCAGCAGAAGGACAACTGATTGGAGCAATAGTATCGTTCAAAGCGGATTCTCTCGAGCAACGACTTGCATGATGATCGAGGCATGCAGCATAGGAAATAGCGTGAGGAATGTAACTCTGATCCACACTACCGGAGAATAAGACAGTTGCCAATGGGCCAATTGCAAAAATTGGCACGTCCTCACCACCATGCGTTGCCCATGTTCTCGGAACACCAGAAGTCTGAAATTTATAAATTTATTTTATCAATAGATGATTTAAAATAAATTATCAATTTTGTTAAGATTTTAATAAGTGCGAAAGCGTTCTTCTTGTATAGGTTTACATTATTTTTTTCCTTGAAAAAAAAACTTCTTCAAAAAGCGCTACTTTTAGACCTCCTAAAATAGAATCACAATTTTAAAAAAGATCTGTGTCAGTTTAAGAAAAGAAGATTATCCGTATATTTCCGATTATATTCAGCATATTATTTCTAATTCAACTACTAATGTGCACTGATATACCCTCACCACCTTTACTAATTCCACTTAATGCATCTGCAGCGCTAATCCATCAAAGGAAAAGCTCACGACGTTATAATCAAAGTCTTAAGTCAAACTCCGATACGGTTATATACTTTTCACTTTAGCACGTATAATTAAACTCAGAATTATCAATTCCAAAGAAATTGCAATATTATTAAAATAAACCTTTCAGTTTAATAATACAGTTCGCTCTCTTGCATCCTAAATTAAAATCCTTTGTTTCAAAAATAATATTTTAAATAATATCAATATATTATTCTAATGAAATATGATTCAAGAAAAATTGTGAAAATTAAATTAAATTACAACTTATAGATGCAAGACATGGATTTTAATTTTACTCTACAACTGTTCTTTTCTTTTATTTTTCATAATTTTCAATGAAATAAACATTGTCATTTTTAAGAAATTATCATTTATATTAATTGACTCTGACTGAAAATGTACATTAGCTAAAACAGACTTCGCACTCGAAAAATAATTTTAAAAAATTATCAAAAAGTAGCTTTCAAACTAAAAAAAAAATAGTAAAAAAGTATCTATCAAAAAATTAAACTTGACCACCAAAAAAATTATACACTTCGCAAAACTGACAAAAATTTCATATTATTTTATTTTCCATACTTTTTCCCAATTTTCATCAAAAATATTTACTTTTCTCTTATCCTGCTAATAAATTGAATTTACCTGTATTATATAAGTCAGACATTTCTTTTGTCAACTTACATAATATGAAAATCAGTAGTTAAAGTAAATATTAGTCAGACACAGTTTTTCTGAGCTCGTGTAATTTAATGTATGTAGCTAAAGTCAATATTAATATTTTACAAATTTTTATGCTCGAACAATGTAAAAATCAGTAGTGACAGTCAATATTAGTCGGACAATTTTTTTATCAACTTCTGTAATATTGCAATGTAAAAAATCAGTAGTTACAGTCGATATTAGTCAGACAATTTTTTATTAAATTTCCTAATGGTACAATGTAAAAATCAGTAGTTACAGTCGATATTAGTCAGACAATTTTTCTTATTAACTCCATTAATATTGCAATGTAAAAATCAGTAGTTAAAGTCGATATTAGTCAGACAATTTTTTATTAAATTTCCTAATGGTACAATGTAAAAATCAGTAGTTACAGTCAATATTAGTCAGACAATTTTTGTTATTAAAACCAGTAATATTTTTTTTTTTATTAAATTCAGTAATATTGCAATGTAAAAAATCAGTAGTTACAGTCAATATTAGTCAGACAATTTTTTATTAAATTTCCTAATGTTACAATGTAAAAATCAGTAGTTACAGTCAATATTAGTCAGAAAATTTTTTTTATCATCTCTAGTTATATTGCAATGTAAAAATCAGTAGTTACAGTCAATATAAATTATAAGTCAGACAATTTTTGTTATTAAAACCAGTAATATTTTTTTTATTAAATTCAGGAATTTTGCAATGTAAAAATCAGTAGGGTAGGGTGGGGCATTACTATTCGCGGGGCGTAACTATTCTTTGTCCTGGAGAGAAAACTATTCATCCGATTAAAGTTTTTTTTACACTGTATACTTGTCATGTGAAATGAACATTGTACGCCACATTTGAGCTTCTGGCGCCATCTATCATTGGAGTTAGGTACCCAAATGTGATTTTGATATACTCGCTTACTTGTTTTCACTCATTTAGTCTGCCATTGTAAATAGTGATAAACGGTCGGAAAAATTATCGGAAAAATTATTTCTAAAGTCAAATTTAGTGCTGAACACGAATATCATAATGGATTTTTGATATTCTATTGTTCAAAAATTTTACAAGTGTTTTTTCAAAAAATGGGCGGATGGGGCGTAACTATTCTTCCACTGATGACAGCAAAAACTACAAAACAGTGTATTTTTTTGTGTGTGCTTGTTTCTAGGTTAGAATTGTAAGAAATTGGAAGAAAAAAACCAGAAAAAATCCTCCAATTAACAAATTAATTTATATATTTTTTTAGTATTATATCATTAATAGCTGCAAGAATAGTTACGCCCCTCGTTTTTTTCGACATCAAAAAAATTTTTTTTTCGTAAAATCGCTGTAGTTCGGAACAGAATCGAGTTACAGCAAAATGATACATGGCAAAATTGTAGCTAAGAAGTCAAGCTTTCAAACGGTTCTACTCATTTTTTTATTTTTTTTTATATACATTTTATAGACTCAAAAATCCAAACAAGAATAGTAATGCCCCACCCTACCCTAGTTACAGTCAATATAATTCGGACAATTTTTTTTTAAATTTCCTAATGTTACAATGTAAAAATCAGTAGTTACAGTCGATATTAATCAGACAATTTTTCTTATTAACTCTAGTAATATTGCAATGTAAAAAATCAGTAGTCACAGTCAATATAAGTCAGACAATTTTTGTTATTAAAACCAGTAATATTTTTTTTATTAAATTCAGGAATATTGCAATGTAAAAATCAGTATTTACAATCAATATTAGTCAGACAATTTTTGTTATTAAAACCAGTAATATTTTTTTTATTAAATTCAGGAATATTGCAATGCAAAAATCAGTAGTTACATTTAATATTAGTCAGACAATGTTTGTTATTGAAACCAGTAATATTTTTTTTATTAAATTCAGGAATATTGCAATGTAAAAATCAGTAGTTACAGTCAATATAAGTCGGACAATTTTTTTTTAAATTTCCTAATGTTACAATGTAAAAATCAGTAGTTTATGTCGATATTAGTCAGACAATTTTTCTTATAAACTCCAGTAATATTGCAATGTAAAAAATCAGTAGTCACAGTCAATATTAGTCAGACAATTTTTGTCATTAAAACTAGTAATATTTTTTTTTTATTAAATTCAGGAATATTGCAATGTAAAAATCAGTAGTTACAGTCAATATTAGTCAGACAATTTTTTTATCATCTCTAGTTATATTGCAATGTAAAAATCAGTAGTCACAGTCAATATTAGTCAGACAATTTGTTTATCAACTAGAGTAATATTGCAATGTAAATATCAGTAGTTACAGTGAATATTAGTCAGACAATTTTTGTTATTTAAACCAGTAATATTTTTTTTTTTTATTAAATTCAGTAATATTGCAATGTAAAAAATCAGTAGTTACAGTCAATATAAGTCAGACAATTTTTGTTATTAAAACCAGTAATATTTTTTTTATTAAATTCAGTAATATTGCAATGTAAAAAATCAGTAGTCACAGTCAATATTAGTCAGACAATTTTTATTTAAATTCAGTAATATTGCAATGTAAAAAATCAGTAGTTACAGTCAATATTAGTCAGACAATTTTTTATTAAATTTCCTAATGTTACAATGTAAAAATCAGTAGTTACAGTCAATATTAGTCAGACAATTTTTGTTATTAAAACCAGTAATATTTTTTTTATTAAATTCAGTAATATTGCAATGTAAAAATCAGTAGTTACAGTCGATATTAGTCAGACAATTTTTCTTATTAACTCCATTAATATTGCAATGTAAAAATCAGTAGTTAAAGTCGATATTAGTCAGACAATTTTTTATTAAATTTCCTAATGGTACAATGTAAAAATCAGTAGTTACAGTCAATATTAGTCAGACAATTTTTGTTATTAAAACCAGTAATATTTTTTTTTTATTAAATTCAGTAATATTGCAATGTAAAAAATCAGTAGTTACAGTCAATATTAGTCAGACAATTTTTTATTAAATTTCCTAATGTTACAATGTAAAAATCAGTAGTTACAGTCAATATTAGTCAGACAATTTTTGTTATTAAAACCAGTAATATTTTTTTTATTAAATTCAGGAATATTGCAATGTAAAAATCAGTAGTTACAGTCAATTTTAGTCAGACAATTTTTTTTTAAATTTCCTAATGTTACAATGTAAAAATCAGTAGTAACAGTCAATATTAGTCAGACAATTTCTTTTTCATCTCTCGTAATATTGCAATGTAAAAAAATCAGTAGTGAAAGTCAATATTAGTCAGACAAATTTTTTTTATCAAATACCGTAATATGAAAATCAGTAGTTAAAGTAAGTATTAGTTAGCCTTAACTTTTTTAATAACTCTTACAATTGGATAATTAGCAATTAAAATAAATCTTTAGTCATATACAATTTTAAAAAATTTTGAAAGAATAAATCAGTAGTTGAAGTAAATTTTAAGTCATACGTAATTTTTACCTAAAATTTAGGGAAAGTACCCAAATAGTATGATAATGTAAAAAACGTAGTAAGTGGTAACTTTTAGTAGATCTACCAATCTCGGTCTTCATCTCAGATATTGTTATAGATGATCTGGAAACTCATTGTTTAAACGAATTAAAAGAAAAATACAATTGTGTTCCTGTTTTTTTTAGATACGTAGATTATTTAATATTAGTTCTTCAGTAAACTGCAATTGAGTAATTCTGTAATTTCCAAAAAATAATTAAAAGTAACAGGAAATTTACCTTTAAGATAATGAGTAATTGTAAAATAGTTAAGAAAATATAATTAAACGTAGATTTATAATTAACGATGTAATTACAAATTTAGAGTAACTAAGTTCATCGATCCGCATGGTTCTCTGACCGACATTAGGATCCATTACCGCAATTCCCAATAGCTCCTTAATGCAAGATGCCAGACTAAATAAATTATTCATTTTGAATTAGAAAAGACTCGATGCAAGTGAGAATTAATTAATTAAATTAGAAACTTTTTCAGTCCAACTATTTACATGTGCTACTTTTCATATACTATGTAATATTAGAATTTACCTGTGTTATTTAATTTTCATCTAATGAATAAAGTGTGTTATTAATTTTCCGTTAATTATCATTAGTTGAAAGATGAATATATAATCATAATTGTCAATTAAATTATGAACATTTACGAAAAATATTTGCAATTTACGCACGAACGAAAACTAAATTGCATAAATATGTAATTAAATTTTCCTTATTAGTCAAATCAATGGATCGAATAATATCTACTATAATTTATATATAAACTGTACACTTGGTATTTAAAATAAATTTTTTATAGATCTTGATATACGAATGTGATTTATTCTAAAAGAGGAAAAAAAAGAATTCAAAGTATATATATATATTTTTCTTTCTTATGAATGAATTTATAATTTCATAAATTATTGTGAAGAATGCCCTTAAGGTATAGATGAGATTTAGTCCTGCCTTGAGTTTAAAGAAGGAGTTATTGAAATAAGAGAATATATAGAGAAGTGAAGGAGACAGTTATTTACACCCCGAGCTCGTTTCTTGAAAACGTTTGCGAAACTTTTGCCGAGCTCAAAGCTTTGCGGCGACCAGAGCTTCGCCTTTCCTAAATGGATGGGTAATGTTCGGCAATCCTGTGAAAAATTGCTTTTCCAATGACTGCTGCCTTAAAGATTCCTATGTTGGTAATGAAGATGAAGAAAAAAGGTTGAATAGCGCATGAATGCTTCTTTATTTTCAAAGCTCCTTCCAAATAGAAAAGTAAAAAATAATGTTCAAGAAACATTGCCAGTGTTCATTAAATAAATTTTCTAGAATCTTTTTTTTTGTTGTTGTTGTTGTTTTGTTACGTCATCGTAACATATTTTTAATAAACATTAATAATATGTATAATTATTAAAAATAATAATAATGAGAATGGCAATAATAACAGCTTTTCAAAACTGCGTTCATTTTAAATATACAATTTATTCAAATAGAATATTTCTTGATTACTTACCAAACCCCGTGCCAATGTTCATTGTTACTAATTAAAATTTAAAATTAAATCGGCAAACACTAGGGAATATAATATTCAGATTAGTTCGATGTAACAGCACCTTGAATTGGTATATTTCAATAGTCAATAACTAATTATTCAAAATAAACATAATCGATTTAAAAAAAAAAATAAAAAATAAAAGTTATCCGATGAAATTTGTGCTGAAACCTCAAATATTTCTCTCTAACCTGATTATTATTTTAAATCCGCGTTATAATATACAGAAACCATAAATTATGAAATAACAGTATAAGAATAAAAAAAAATTTATCGTTAAACGAAACAGATTTTGTTTAGTATCGAAAGATAGTTCATGTAGAAATAAATACTAGAATTGAGGTCGCTGAAACTCTCAGAGGTATTAAATTTATATGAATATAAGCGTAAGAGAATCTCTTCACCTTCACTGGCTTATCAATAAAATATTTTCCAATAGAGTGTCGAAAACCGATATTTCCCCCACACATATACAGGCACATACAATTATATAAATTTTATATGTATAGGATTGATGGATTAAGCGGCAAGTTTAATATCACGATTCTTCATGTATCGTAGAGTAAAAACTAGAGCGATTGATTGTCACAAAAATTGGAAGAAAAAATTTTGATTTTTTCCTTTTGGTTTATTTTACCTGAATGGAATCTTTCCCAGCTTCCCGCACAATCGATCTTGGGTCTGTATGACCTGGACCATTGCTGTACAAAAGTGTTGTATAGGGTTTGCCATCAACATCTGAAACTTTACTGTCAGACCCTGAAATCATAGAATACAAATCATTTTAGATGGAAGATTACAAAATTTAATTATATTTTTAGTATTGAATTTCAAAAGAGAAAAAAAAAACTTTTATTTTACAGAGTTGACATTTGTATTGAAAAAGAGAAAAAATATTGCTAATTTAAAAGTGGGACAAATAACTGCAATTTATTCTCAGCATTCAATGTGACAATTGTTATTCAATTGATGGTGAATTTTTTTGCATTGAAATTTGAAACGTTATAATAATGCTCATTCATCCGAAAAAAATTCCTGAAAAGTGAAATAAAATTTGAATGTTGTTAAATTCCGTTCTTGTCAAACATATTTTATAAATAAATGTCAACCACCCAATGGGAAATGCCAGTGTAGTGCCGATGTTCACCACTGGCTTAGTACTCAGACGATTGTTCGGCGTAGTCTAGCCGAGCTTCGACAATCAGTGCTGGCGCAGTACAGAATTTTTGTTTCGCCAAAGCTTGGACAAGCCACGGCGGCAAGTGCTGGCTGAGTATAGAAAAATTGTTCACAACGCTCTTTGCCAACGTTGCTTTTTTGACATAAACTTGAAAAAAATTATAAAAAAAGTTTATGAATGTTTATAAATATAAATTTATTGAAAAAAATTAATATTTTACTTTTCAGTTGTTCATTTTTTATTCTTATTAAATTTAATAATAACAATTTAACACAATAGTCTAATTTTGTAAATAATAAATTATTTAAACAAATTAAAATTATAAACAAAATTTAAACTTTAATCTCAATAATAATTTGGTTCCTATTAAAATACTATTATACTTCTTACTATGAATAAAAAATTATTAAAAAATTACCACGTAATTTAAGAATTACGTAAAATGTTAAATGCAATAAGTAAAGTAATTTAATTTAATTATTAAAAATTTAAATTAATTTATTTTATTTCAATTTATTATTTCTAACGTATCCCTATTTTTTTCTCATCTTTGACTCAATAATTGTATGTCTGAATGATACTGAGATATTAATACTTTACTGTACACATGTGTCGTTAGCATAGTGGTTAGAGCGTTAGTCTGTTAGTCCGTAGGTCGTAGGTTCGATTCCCCTCGTCAGCAATTTTGTTTATTTTCATAGGTTTGCGATATTTCTAGATTCCAATCGTTAGGTACTAAAATATGAAAATCTAATGCACACTTACTGTAATTGTTTATTATTTAATTTTTAGATGTTATAAACAATTTTTTTCTACTTTATTTACTATATCCATTGTTAGTCTCCATCTTTAATACAATTTCTTTGAGAAGAGAAATATTTTATGAATAATAAATATTTATTAATATTATTTACCATTTAGTTGTTAAATTATTTATAATTATTAATTTACGACTAATTAATAACAATACAGCATTTATTGCGGCAATATTCTCAGCCAGCACTGGTCCAGTGCTGCGCCAGCGCTGTCTCGCAGCACTGACAGACAGTACTTCGGCAGCGCCAGACGGCGTTATCATCCCAGCGCCATGCCAGTGCTGGCTCTCAGCCTTGCCGCCAGTGCTGCCAGTGCTGGCGCAGTACTACGCCAGTTGTAAATTTCCCATTGGGCATTGACATTGTGAATACAGATTATTTCACACATGTGACATAATGTAAAGAGATGGAGTTTATTGACACTTAAGAGATCGTTGTTCAGGTTCTAAATCAATCGAAGGAGACAAGACAAGAGAGAAAAAATAGTTAAGGAAGTGACTCACATTTATTTGGTTTGGGCATCATGGTTTTATCTATTCTCACTGCCAGATAGAAGGAGTGAAAAAAAGAATGGTAGGGGAGGTATAAGTGGAGACTTTTACTTTTAAGCGAAAATACCTTTTCATTACCTTGGCTCATTATTTTTCTTCCCTCAGTGACAGATAAAAGTTGTAAAAGAGAGAAAAATTGATGAAAAATAAGTAGGGGTTTTTACTTTTAAGCAAATCTTTAGTACGATTTCCGACTATAAAGTGAAAGTTTTTCCTGTGAAAAATTTTGTTTAACGTGCAATTTACAATATTCCCTAATTCTTTCATGTAAACAACATTTTTTGTGATCACAGTAAATCGTGAGGTATTAAAAATTGTTGCAGATTAAATTAACACCAAAAAAGATTAAAATAATCAATTTTGGTGTTATTTTTTACAATAAATAAAATTTTAGTTCATTAAATTTTTTTATAACTATAAAACATGAAGATATCGATAACTCCGAGTCTTCGACTCTGAGTGATCGATTTCTTCATATTTTATAATAATTAAAGATGACCAAGTAATAAAATCATTATTATTTTCAAAAAAATTTAACTACAATTTTACTTTATATCAATTATTTTTAACAATTTTCGAAAAAGTTCTTTGGCAATTTTCAAATCCATTTGTTTACAATATTAAATTTTACGAAATTCCAATTATTCCTAAATTCTCTAATTAAATCCATATTAGAAAATAAAAACTTTAAATAATATTTTAAAAGTCCAATTAAACTTTTTCAAAAAAATTAATTTCAAAATTCAATTATTTCTAAAAATTCACGCTATATTGCTTTTAATATTCAATTATAATCTAAAATTTTAACTGAAATTCATTTTTATAAAATGAAAATCAATTTTTATTAGACAATTCTACAAGAATTTAATTATTTAAATGCAAAAGTAAATAATATATTGAATAATTGAATGTTTCTCAAAATTCAATTCTCATAAAGTATTTTATTAACAAATTTTTAAATATTTGAATTCTTTTGTCGAATTTTATTAAAACTTGCATGAACATAATTACTTTTTTCAAGGAATTCAATTATAATTGCATGAAAAATAATTGAAACGCTGAGATGAGTTTTATTATTAGTAAAAATAATTGAATCCTTGAGAAGAATTTTATTACTCTTGAAAATAATTGAATTTCTGCAATAATTTGTAACTTTTCTAAAATTAAATTTTTTTCTAGTGTTTTTAACAAAAATTCTTCAATAAATCCATTATTTTTAATAATTTTTGAAAAAGTTCTTCTTTGAGAATTTTCAAATTCATTCGTTTACAATTCAATTTTACAAAATTTCAATTATTCTAAAATTCTGCAATTAAATATATATTGAAAAATACAAACTTGAAATAATTTCAATAAAAATCCTATTAAACTTTTAAAAAGAATTTATTCTACAGAATGGTTTGTCAAAAATATGAAAAATTAAGAATTTCAATGATTTTAATTTGAAACTTTTTCAAAATTTAATTATTTCTAAAAATCCACGTTATAATGCTTTTAATATTTAATTATAATTTAAAATTTTAACTGTAATTTATTTTTAAAACCATTTTTATTAGTAAATTCTACGAGAATTCAATTATTTAAATATAAAAATAAATAACATATTAATTTCATTTTTCTTGTAATTAAATTCTCATAAAAAATGTTATCGACAAATTCTTTAAATCATTAAATTCTTTCGACGAGTTTTAATAAAATTTTTAAGAATAACCACATTTTTCGAGGAATTCGATTAAAATTGCATTAAAAATAATTGAAATTCTGCAATGAGTTTTATTATTTATGAAAATAATTGAATTCCTAAAAGAATTTTAGTATTTATAAAAATAATTGAATCCCTGTAAAAATGTTATTATTTATGAGAATAATTGAAGTATTGCGAAGAAATTTATAAAAAAATTTGTAAATAATTAAATTCCTGTAAAAATCTTTATTATTTATGAAAATAATTGAATGTTTGCGTAGAATTTTATTCAAATTTTTTTTAATAATGAAAAAATTTTTTTTTGGAAAATTTTATTGAAATAGTAGATATATTGAAAATCATTGAATTTTAGAAAACTTTTGAAAATAATTGAACTTCTGCAACAATTTGTAACTTCTCTAAAATTAAATTTTTTTTAGTGTTTTTAACTAAAATTCTTTAATAAATCCATTATTTTTAATAATTTTTAAAAATGTTGTTTGAGAATTTTCAAATTCATTCGTTTACAATTAAATTTTACAAAATTGCAATTATTCGGAAATTTTGCAATTAAATATATATTGAAAAATAAAAACTTGAAATAATTTCAATAAAAATCCTATTAAACTTTTAAAAAGAATTAATTCTACAGAATTGTTTGTCAAAAATATGAAAAATTAAGAATTTCAATGATTTTAATTTGAAACTTTTTCAAAATTTAATTATTTCTAAAAATCCACGTTATAATGCTTTTAATGTTTAATTATAATTTAAAATTTTAACTGTAATTTATTTTTAAAACCATTTTTATTAGTAAATTCTACGAGAATTCAATTATTTAAATATAAAAATAAATAACATATTAATTTCATTTTTCTTGAAATTAAATTCTCATAAAAAATGTTATCGACAAATTTTTTAAATCATTAAATTCTTTCGACGAATTTTAATAAAATTTTTAAGAATAACCACATTTTTCGAGGAATTTGATTAAAATTGCATTAAAAATAATTGAAATTTTGCAATGAGTTTTATTATTTATGAAAATAACTGAATTCCTGTAAAAATGTTATTATTTATGAAAATAATTGAATTATTGCGAAGAAATGTATTAAAGAAATTTGTAAATAATTGAACTCCTGTAAAAATTTTTATTATTTATGAAAATAATTGAATGTTTGCGTAGAATTTTATTCAAATTTTTTTTAATAATGGAATTCTTTTAGAAAATTTTATTGAAATAGTAGGTATTGAAAATCATTGAATTTTTGAAAACTTGAAAATAATTGAAATTTTGACAAGAATTTGATTAAAATTTTCTAAAATAATTGAATTATTAGAGAAGAATTTTAGTATTTATAAAGAGAATCGAAATTTTGGCTCGAATTTTTAAAAATTTTTGAACACAATTGAATATAGTAACTATGTTACTAAGTTAATTAGTAAGTTAGTAACTAACTTACTAACTTACTAACTTACTATTCTCCCTGGAGAAGCTGAATTCGTTGAATGTTTACAAATCGTTGACT